CGACGCGTCGGGAGACTGCCGCGAGGAAGCTCCGCGAAGAACAGAGTGAGAGAAGTGCGCGCGAAGCGCGATGGCGGATCTCTCGAGTACGCGCGCCCGTGGTTAAGAAGCGAGGCAGTTAAAGAGCACGATGAAGTAAGAAGTTGCTGCGGTAAAACCGCAAGCGCGCCGCGAAGCCGGGCGCAACGGAGCAGGAGCAGTAATTCCTTTCTTCCAAAAAGAAAAGGCGGTAAAAACAGCGATTAAGGCTTTTAGCTGGAATACCGGCTCCACGTGCTTCTTCTCCGCGATGCGTGTAGTAGACGAGGCCGCGGCCCCTCTGGACGTCGTTGGAAGAAACGGTTCATGGGTTCGGTCTCTAGTTTCCACCCTGCTGAGCAGCTTTCCCGGGACTCTGCGGTTTCTCCATGCTATAAATACTGACACCGAAGACCGGCCAGAGAGACGGAGAGACAGACAGAGAGAGAGACAGAGAGAGAGAGAGAGAGAGAGAGAGAGAGAGAGAGAGAGAGAGAACGCGCGCACGGGAAGAAATGAGAATAACGCGAGGAGGACTGGCGGCAGGGAAGGAGCGCAAAGAATGAGAGAGAAAGAGAGAGAGAGAGAGAGAGGGGGCAGGAGGAAAGAGAGAGAGAGAGAGAGAGAGAGAGAGAGAGAGAGAGAGAGATACGCACGCGAAAGTAGTAGCCGGACGTGCAAGGGTGGAGACGAAGAAGAAGGATGTTGAAAGGCGGTCGAGGAGAAGAGCGGGGTCGAGCGCGCAATTCTTTCTCCATCCAAGTGCTTTTCGTTCGAAAAATGGAGTTTCATGGCCTGGGAAGTCGCGTCCACTATGAGTCCGGCCGGCTAATTACATTCGTCTGATCTTTGCTCGCTCGAACTACTTGGTGCTCGCGCGACGGGAGCGCGAACACGTCCCGAACCGTGAATCAAGCACAGCGGATCTCTGTTCACGGGGTTTTTTTACCGATGCGGACTTTTCGTTCCTTCTTCCTTTGTGTACATTCTCTCTCTCTGTCTGTCTGTCTCTCTCTCTCTCTCTCTCTCTCTCTCTCTCTCTCAAGCAACACCAAAAATCCTACCTCGAGGGTCGAGTGTTCCTTAAATGGCGGATTACTGCATGATTCCGCGCGTCCTGTATTCCCTCTTCAGCTTAATCGCATTACAGATAAACTCGATCTCGCTTTTACAACGCTCTGTATATTCCCGCGCACTCGTAAAGTACACAGAGAGGAAATGGACGCTGCATTATTTCGCAACGAAGCGATGAGGAACGCCCGGTATTTCTGTGCAAGTTGGCAGCCGGATCTACGGAGAGAGACGGCGGAGTAATATAATTGAATGGCGTTTAATTAAAAGTCAAACCTCTTCGCCCTTCGTCGCGTCGCGTCGCGCACGATAAAACCGCGTTGAGCGGGGGGTGTAACACGCGCGCGCGGTGTCCTCCCTCCGCGCGCGTCGGACAATCGCAAAGACATTTTTATTCGCGACAGCCGGCGCGGCGGGGCGGGGCGCGTAGTTACCGATCGTTTTATAGGAAAGCGTTCGATAACGCTCTCGTAAAATAGAGAGGAAAATATTGAATGACGAGGCGGGAGTGGAAAACGTCAGTGTCACGCGACAGCGGTAGGGACATTTCACGCCGCGGATTGACAGCAACGGAAATATTCTCCTGTCCCTATGAAGATTACGCGAATGGATCGGCCTTTCGCTCGATTCCCAGCGGACCGTGCGATAGCGCGCGGTATCCTCGGTGGATATTTTATGGGATTCCGGGAGAGGTAACTTCAAATTACGCTTTCTCACTTCCCTCTCACGAGCGCGCGCCCGCTCGAGGATTTCACTCCAACTTTACTCGCGGATCCGTTGGCGAGTTACGGCGATCGCCGGGGCAGATCGTTAGCGGAATTTTCCGACCGTCCTTCACGCATCGGCGGCGGCCAGCCGGCGAGCCGCCGAGCCGCCGAGCATTCGGCCAAAGGGAGTTTAATATTTACACGGCGGCATTTAAATGTCACGTCACGCTCGATCGTTGCGCTGAAACGCGTGCGTATTGAATCTCCCATCGAATTAAAACGCGTCGAAGCGACAGCGATAAGAGTTTTACGGTGAATAAAGAGCGTGCTGCTGCCTGTCATACGCCGATATTGCACATCGAGAGCACGGCTCTGTTGACACAGCAAGAACAATAACAACGGCAGCAACAATAGCGGCGGAGGAGGAGAAGGAGGAGGAGGGAAAAGGGATTAGAAAGAGAAAAAAACGTTACAAGAGCCGCGCGCGCGCGCGCGCGCACGCTTTGTCGCCAGTCATTGTGGATATTATAGGATATTAACGAGCCGATCGTGCATACGCGCGCGTTATCAAAAATCGCCGACGCCGTCACGTCATGACCTATCGATCATAAGTCATGGTGGATGTACAATGCTCGCTGGTCCGCGACTAACGCCCGAACCTGTCGCTATTATACGTCCGGTGTTTCGCCGTTTGTATTGCGATTATCATGCTCATACACACGGCATACAACAGTCGCGCGACAACGCAAAGCGCTGCTGCCGGTTGGGGCCCTATTGTGGTTCTCGGTCCGACATGTTGGTAACGAGCTGATCATTGTTATAACTCACGTTGTCGCGTATATATTATATTATATACGCGATGTATGTACGCACGTATGTACGGACGGTACCGCGTACATGGACCGCCGCGTTTGGCTATCGCGTTTAGGTAAGACACGAGTTTGTCGACACGGTACGACAGAACGGACAGAGCGATACGATCGACTAACTGACTTTGCCCGCGACTCGTCCGAACGCGCCCATGCGGCATCGATCGATCGGCATAAATCACTATCGCTCGCCGCTCCACGCTCCATTAGATGCGATTATTGAAGTCCCTCACGGCGCGCGAGGCGCTCTTCCTTCCATCGGTTCGGGCGGGAAACAGTCGCATCTTTAATCGCGGGGATCCTTCGCGCGAGCGGAACTTCTGCGTCCCTCGGATACCCTCCTTGATACACGCGATTATGCGCGAAATGTTAGTCGGCAATCACGAATATATCACGAACAATAAACAGGTGTCAGACGAGATGTGGAGTGAACTTGGGACTTTTTCCGTTAACCTTTGTTAACTTTGGACAGTACGCGCGTATATCTCGGCTACTATAATGCCGCGGAATATACGACGCGCCACGGACAAACGTCGATTCGTTTCTCCCGTTCGCGGTTCAATGTCCAATGTGTGCAATCGGCTTTTTCATAATAAATGTCAGAGGCAGTTTCGCTGAGACGTGTGCACTGCTGAGTGGCATTAATCGATTTCACGTTGAGAACATTATGCAACGTCGATAGCTATTTCGAGCAGTTTGGCACGCACAGGTGAAGCAGAGGAGCTGTAGGAACTTGCGTATTTCTCGAAATATCGCAGGGTAAGAGCAGACGTGAATAATTAATCGCGAATCGACTATGAAGCGGACCGCATAAGCTTGAGAGAGAGAGAGAGAGGGAGAGAGAGAGAGACAGAGAGAGAGAGAGAGAGAGAGGGGGGGGGGGGAGAGAGAGAGAGAGAGAGAGCAGTTGAGAAAAGGAGCTATTATACGTGACGTTTAGCAGTAAATAAATTAGAAGGTAGCGATATTGTAATGACTATCGCGTGCCAATATTACGGTGAGACGACACAATAGCACGAATAATGTGCTTTAAAAAAAAAGAAAGAAGATTATATACATATACGAGGTGTTCGGGATCTTTTGGAAACGAAAAATTGTTGTGAAAATTAGTCAGATCAAACTGAGGAGAAAAATTATGTACCATTTGCAAAAATCGCAATAGTTTTTATTAAGTTGTCAATGATCATGACCACATCTAGAAGTTCTTTTAATCAATAATTGATAACTATACTTATATCTATCGCTAGACACAATAGCCGTCATATATAAGATCGGTCATTCTGAAGAAAAGTTCTTTATCATTTTGCAAATAAGTACGCAAATTTTCATATTATCAATTTAAAAGAGCTTCTAGATGTGATCATTTTCAATCATATTAATAACTTAATAACTATTGCGATTTTGACGAAATGAAGCTTGACTTTTCTTCTCAGTCTGATCTGATTAATCTTCACAATTTTTCGTTCCCAAAAGATTCCGGACATCCAATGTGTGTTTATGTGTATGTATATATATATATTTAAATAATTCTCGACGAAAGATTCATCTGTCTCTGAGAGGTACATTAACATTCAATTTGTTGTTCGTGGGCGCAAGATCAAAGTAACGGGATATTTCTCTCAGTGCTGGCCGAGTAATACTCGCTCCCTCCCACAGATATAATACTACACGCTGCGTAAGATACAAACTGTGAAATATAAATACGATAATATGGCGCAACGTGAGAACGTTGAGGTGGAGCATCGCCGAAAGTCTCATATAGTCGCGTACATAAGCGTTTTACTTTCGTACAGGGCGTATTAAAATTCCATTTACGGAAGTTGTCGTTTGTAACCGAGATCAAAGCTACAAAATATTTATCCCCACCCGTCAGAGCGGATATGTCGCCCCTCTTAGAGAATATCTAACAAGGATACGTGATATATAAAAGTGAATTTGCGGGACGGCGGGAAATTTTGTGAAATGTATCAACATCATTAGTTTATCGGATATTATAGTGAGCATATCATGAGATGTAGTGTTAAATGTACTTTACTAATGTAGTTATTTCATCACCGTGTTTGATTACCTACCTACACCGACAGCTGCACGCTGTTGCGTAATAATACTGAGCTTTTTATCACGCACATGTACGTTTGTATACATGTATCTTTGAGGTTCTTCATAAAAATAATATATTTAGCTGTGCGTATAGGTTATAATGTATCGATAATCGATTTCATTTCGCCGGTTATTTATTCATTCCGGCATGCCGCGGGAACGCGTTCGCAACAACGCATTTGTATTACTAACACATTTTCGAAAATGTACGGCGTAGTAAAGTCAAAGTACTCACTCGTCTATTCCCAATTACGAAGTACCGGAGTGGGCAGCATCTCGATGTTCCCTCCGCCGCGACGCCAAATACCGTGACTGAAGCACTATGGTCTGCGGAAACATGCTTGCCACTGTGTCTCTCGCTGCGAGAACAAATTAATTTATTATTTCACAATGTTCAAGTTAACAATATTCCGGAGGAATAGCGGTCAATAATAAAGGTGCATACCGCGTAGCTGAGGCAGTCGCAGCTCGAGCAGTGCGGCTCGGCGAAGTCGAACAAATTGAGGTTATGATAGGAAACGAGAATCCCCAGGAACGGCGAAGCAGGAATGCTCCAGGTGAGAGGAAACGATCGAAGGAGAAAGAGGAAAGAGAAACGGCCGAGAATGCGTACAGGGCGGACAGAACGAATACGCGAATGAACGGGAGCACGAGAATGAAAAACGGACAAAGCGCCAAGAGACATTGTGGAGATGAGGAAAGGAAAGGAAACAATGCGGAAGCAAATGGACGCGGACAGGAAGTGAGAGAAATAGAAAGAGAGAGAGAGAGAGAGAGAGAGAGAGAGAGAGAGAGAGAGAGAGAGAGAGAGAGAAGGCACGCGGGGCAAAGTGCGAGAGGGAAGAACGAGGGAACGTGCAAAGCGACGGGCACGGAGACGACGGTAAGGCAAGGCAAGGCAAGACAAGGCAAGGCAAGGCAAGGCGAGGCGAGGCAAGGCAAGGCAAGGCAAAGCAAGGCAAGGCAAGGAAAGAACGCGAAAAGGAGAGGGAAAGTAGCGCGCGGGTGAACGCGCGCGGATCGAGCGAGAAGCAGACAGATGCGTAGGATGGCGGATAAGGAGAGCAGAAAGGGAGAGAAAGACGAGCGGACGAACGAGGAAGAGCGAGGAGGAGCGCCGCTTCGCGAGGGCTACGAGCCCGAGAGAGACGAGGACAGACTAGACGCCGCATGCGCGCGGCATGGGTGTATCTTCGGCTTTCCCCCTCTAGCGGTCGCCCGCTGCTTCGCGCCTCTACCCCCGCGCCCGCCGCTCGACTCAGTCACCGGGCCGATTCGCAGGCGTAGGGTTTCCGCGCTTTTTCGCTCCGTTCCGCTCTCGTTCGTGGAAAAGCCCGAGCGCTCGTTTACCGTTTTTTCGCGGCACCGGCCGATCACGGGGTTAACGACGACGGTGTCCGTACACGCGGCGTGCCTCGTTTCTCGCCTCGGAGAGAAACAGACAGACACAGCTCTGGCAAGAGTGGGCAAGTGAGAGACAGAGACAGAGAAAGAGAGAGGGAGAAGAGGGAGAGAGAGAGAGAGATAGAAAGAGACGTGCGCGTGAGAGTGCCCCAGTTTCTGTGCGGTCACATGTGGACGTGGAGCAGCGTAGCGCCGCGAGGGGGCAAACGCAACGCGCTGAAGTTAGCGCCTCGTCGTTATCGGTTAACCGTCGTCGTCGTTCGGGATCTACGGTGATTTTCAGTCGAGTGCAAATTCGCGCGGAATCTCCTTGGCTCGTGTGTGCGCGCGTGCTGATATCGCTTGGAGTTGTGCGAGATCACCACCAGCCTGGTGAGTGAGGCATGTTTTTGCGCAGCGAGTTTGGTGTCGACGACCGAACGAAAGAGACGATGCGTGACCGATGACAACTGTTTCCCGGCGCGAGGAGATTCGATTTTTCGCGAGGTGATCCGTAACCTCAATTTCGCCGGCGCCATCACGGAGAGGAGGGCTTCGTCGATGCCGCTCGTCTCGACGAAGACGCGCCCGGCTCTCGTCCGTGTTCTCGTGCGGGGTTATGTTTACGTGACGACGCTGCGGGTACCGTTGCGCGCGGGGTGGCGGGCGGGATTCGAACGCGTACGAGCGTGTCCCGGTGAAGATTGAGCGTGTGCGATTGATGGCGGGAGTTTCGAGCGCGCACGCCTTACGCCTTACGCACGCTCGGATGCCGTGTTGTTTTGAGTAATTCGTGTTAATTAATCCATCGGTGGAAGGCACGCAGAGCGTGTAGCACGACGACGCGATTGACCGGCGAGACAGAAGGGACTCCGCAGTCGCCGGAGTCGCAGGGCGCCGACCTGGGACACCAGAATGTGAGATCGATCGACAAAGTGCTTCAAGGTCGGCGCGCAACGTCTCATCCGAGCGACGACAATCGTGAAAACGACCGGTCGAGTGATAGCGAGGTGAGTGTTGTTTACGTCGAATGCTCCGCTGAGTGATGGCGTTTCTAGTCACTATGGCGACTGGTGACTCGTAGTAAAGGTTCAATGCTCATCGATGTGCTGTCGCATACTTTTACCGGCTAAAGCCGTGAAGTGGCCGTGAGACCGTTTGTCACTCCGTTCATTATGCCGCCGGGGAAGTATTTGTTCATTCATTGGACGCTCGCGCTCGTGCTGATGGCTCGTAAATAATGACGCAGCTGTCAATAAGGGGAGGAGACATTCTTGTAATTTCGTTTATCGTGTACTCCCCGTTTGTACCGATGTGCGATGTATGGAGAAAGTGCCCGCGCATTCTCTACAAATTTGATCACCGTTCGACGTAGAAGCGGCGAGATGATCGGAGAGAGAGCTCGTGCACTTTCTTATTTTACGCGGCCAGGCATTTTCATCACGTTTGCCCCGAAATGTCGCATTGCGCCTACGTACTTAAATGCGCCCTCATTTTGATGCTGCGAAATGCGCGCACACACACACACACACACACACATGTGTGTGCGTGTAAGCATTTGATACAATTTTGTACGCCTATGCACCAGGCTTGTTCAGCGGTGTTTGTGTTGTTTCACATTTACAAGTGCTCTATAAACAACGAGCGTGATAAAACAATGCTTCTCGTGAAACGCAGTCACATTCTGAGAGTCTGTTTACGTTGCATGATTTTTAAACAGTACCGTACAGCTCGCGTTGAGCTTTTGTGCGCATGCTGTCTTTATGTAGCGCCATAAGGTCGCGTTATTAACAAGCGTCGTTACACGCGATTAATATGTGCGTTAAAAGATTTATATAGGCTCATATTTTGAACCCTCTTTTATCGTTAGAAGCGACTGTAAAAGTAGCTTGTAAGCTCCCTGATTGTTTGTAAGCCATTTTTAGAGCCGCTTTCAGTGATGAGAGAAAGAGAGAGAGAGAGCTCAGAATATGGGCCGTAGTCAGTAGTCCACTGTGCGATGGAATATTAATCGCCGTGAAAATTATCACGACCATCGCGGCGATTTCTCATATGAGAGAAGCAAATTTCCTCCATTGCGCGTCCTTTTGAACGATATCCTTGACATTCGCGCGCAATAGAGAACGCGGCAGGACGTAAGTAGTGTTTCCCCGACGTACCTATGTATTAAACCACTACATGCTTCTCTTCGGCGCCGCGTCGAAGCTTTTCATACACGCTGGAATGGCACGCTGGCTGCTGATGGTGTGAGAAGAAGAATGCACTCGACGTTGACTACCTTTTAGCAGTGCATCCTCGCAGTTATTCGATGCGTGCGGGAGACAGCATGTATGAGACACGAAGAGTATTAAGTTATGGAGCTTTTATTACGTTTATGGGATTTATGTTCGAAGACGATATGCGCGACGACGTCGTCGTCGTCGTCGTCGTCGTCGTCGTCGTCGTCGTCGTCGTCGTCGTCGTCGTCGTCGTCGTCGTCGTCGTCGTCGTCGTCTAGCCGCCGTCGTAGCGGCTCCGAAATGACCTACTCGCAATGGCGTCTCCAATATATCGCGGCAAATATTTGTTCTTGTGTTCCTTGTCGTGCTTATCCTTCGCAACGTTCACCGTGCGTAATCTGTTTGTACGTGTAACTAGCTACGCTTCGGATCAATGGAGGACACGTAACGCTGAGCTAAAACGCGTAATAATATCGCATTCCACGGTGCTGTAGAGCGCATAATTCGTCGGTACCGATAAACGCGCGCGCTCTCCTTACTCCGGAACGTTAACACAAACGTGATGTACGTTTATGAAAGCGTCTAATTTTTTTTCACAAAGTTCTCTGTTTTGCGTGCTTTTGCTTGACTTTTTTCTCACAGGCGTTTTCGGAATTCTCTGCGTCACGTATGGTTATTTCTCCACTGCTCATAGCAGATTGTCGCTCTACGTGTATTTGTCTCTCTCTCTCTCTCTCTCTCTCTCTCTGTGTTTCTTCTTTTCCGTCCCTTTCCCCCTTTCGCTTTCGCGACCTGAATTCTTACTTTAGCGATTACGTGCGGGTTACAATGGCCTTTGTCGGTACTCCGTTTCGGTGGTATTGCTGTTCTATCTCTTTTTTTAAGGGCGGATAGAGCCGGGGATGGAGGTTGACGCGGTGCTCGCTCGATTACAAATGTGAAATCGATCTCTCATTGTCGGGGAATCGGCGACCACGTAGCCGCTGCCACTAAATCGATCCTCGGCAGATAGGACCGACCGAGAACGAGCGGACGAACGAACGAACGAACGAACGAACGAACGAACGAACGAACGAACGGTCTTTCTCGTTCACGAGGAAGAACGAAGTCTCGTTAGTCACGCTGGTAATCAAGGCTCCGCTTCGATTTCTGTTCAAATTGCTTTCGGTGTCTTTGCAGAAAAAGAGAGGTTGAACCCTCGCAAAACCTCGTGTAACCAGCCCGGAAACGTGTCTTATGCAAATCAGCCCTCTTTTTCGAGTTGCCGCGAGCACACGCGAATCAGCGGCTCAAAGAGGCCTAATTTCGCATGCTTTGAAATTTAAGCGCCTCGGAGCTTGCGCGCGAGTAGAATGCAACGTTCGGTCGTGCAAGTTGTAAGCTCCAGCGTCACGGTGTTGCAAGTCTCAGTCACGCTGGCTCGTTAGACGTCTTTCTCGCTTCAGCTTTCGCTCCCTGCCTTCTGCTCTCAAGGATCGGACTAGCAAGCTCGCGGAGTGTATTTTCACGTTCTGGAAATAGAGGTAGTCGACTAAATTAGCTGATTGATCAAAGTGACTCACTGGCGGCTACGGCGGAATCATCGGCGAAAAGAATATCCTCGGAGCTTACGCGAACGCGTGCGTTTTCGATTGCGTGTAACGCGTTGAGTACACTATATCCAATTAACAAAGGGTACATCGCTAGCTGCTCATACGTGTGTTTTGTACGTACGCGTTGTACTATAGCATGCCCGATCAAAGTACGTGCTCTATAATCAGCTGCATTTTCGCGACGAGCGTGTTCCCTCTCGGCTTTTGCGCGCCAATAACAATCGGGAAGCCGGCAATCTCCGAAGCTCAAACAGACAATCACTTCTAAATACAGTTGGAGGGTGTTTTGATTCGAAACACTCTAACACGGAATTGCTTTGGTCGCGGGGCTATTTAACCAGTGAACGACTTCAAAGTCGCTCGAAATGTTTACTCACGAGCGTGAAAGTGAGAGGGTGAGAGGAATAGAGGGGAAGGGGCGAGAGAATGTGGGAGAGAGAGAGAGAGAGAGAGAGAGAGAGAGAGAGAGAGAGAGAGAGAGAGAGAGAGAGAGAGAGAGAGAGAGAAAGAGAGAGAGTGAGGAAAAGAGAGAATGAATGTGTTGGGAAGGAGGGGAGAACACAAACATACAGAATGGCCACGAGGATGAAATACGAAATGTTACAGGAATATATAATATAGTTATATAAACTTGTTACATATTCCTGATGTGGATAAAAGTGAATGAAGAGCTCGCTAAGACGCGGCAAGCATGCTGGAAGCGAGCAGCTTGCTTTCCAACCGAGTAATACGTACTTTTTGTTTATAATTTTTCGTTCGTAGGCAGAACACCGTCACGGAGATTATATAACAATCATTTCGCCTCGTAGACATCGCTTTTATTTATCGCATCCACCTAAGGATTTTGCTTTCAGCGTTGGCCATTTTTTTTGTATATTTTGTTTTCAAATGTTGCTCGTTAGTTAATTCGCTCGCGAACAGTTCGCTTCCCCCCCCCCCCCGCTCCCAAAGCTCTCTTTCCGGCGTTGCATTTATTCGTGAGAAAAAGCGTGCGCTGTTTTACACCGGACTACATTAAATTTCGGGATTGCCCGGTAAAGAGAATCCGCATTATACATACGCACATTTATTCCCGCCCCCGCGGAGTCTTTGGGTATCTATTAGGAAAAGTTCGGCCAGCCTTGGCGCGAGGAAGTTTATTTAACCGGGGTGGGGTGGAGGGGGAGCGCAAAGTGCGATTGTCACGGCAGTTTCCAGGTTGTCGCTCCATTCCATTCGCTCTTTCGGCCGTACATGAAACCGGCGCTCCTTCGTTCCCATAGATATCGTCCCGGATGCAATGGAGGTATTGGAAAATAATGAAGAGGTTCGCCCTCACAGCTGTTGAGTCACCGCGCGGCTCGATGGCGGTCTGTCGATGACAACGAGGTAATTACTTTTCAAACAGCAGACGTGCAAATGAACGGCGGTTTAATCTGTCGATAATATCCCAGCATCGTTACCGCGTTTTTATTTCTCTTCCTCTCTTTCTCCGCGGCAACAACGTTTGCCGACTGCTACTACCGCCGCGTGTGTGTATGTATGTGTGTGTGTGTGTGTGTGCACGCGCGCTCGCGCAAATTCTCCGCGCAGATTTAATCCTCTCACAAAGATTGCCCGCGCACGAACAAAACGAAATAGTTTTTCACCGCTGCTGGATTATGTTCTCTTTTTGTTTCCCGATCGCGGTTTTCGATATGCAACTACGTCCGTTAAAACGAACCTCGAAAATAGCCGGAATGTCTCTTGACTCGCATTACGCATCAGCATGCGATTTTCGGAGAATTGAAAGAATAACTAAATACATAGAGCTTACGTTATTTTTTAGTCGCGCTACTCTTTCCCTTGTTTGCGTTAACGTTATCGAGAGAGAGAGAGAGAGAGAGGGAGAGGGAGAGAGAGAGAGAGGGGGGAGGAAGGGAGACAGGAAGGGAGCAAGAAAAGAGGCGTGCGCGATTTTACGGGGCGCTTATTGCCTCCCCTCCTTCCCCCCTCTATTGTTCCGCTCGCGAGTTAATGATTGTCGTTGCGTGAACGGACTCACTTAAACGATCGTTTCTTCTCTATACGCGCGGCGAACCGGCGTGTTATTGCGACAAAAACAATTTAAGGCCCGGGCGGCGGTGGCGTGTCCGCCGATAAATCTCGACTTATTGAACGCGTAGCTCAGTTTTGAAGCTCACCCACGGCCTCCACGACGGCATTGCTCGTGCGCCGTGA